ATTTTAGTGATTAAAGTAGAAAATGCATGATTTTAAATGATGTTATGAAATGAAGGTATTGTTTATACAAAGTGACTTTATACATATTAAGAATGCATTGTTCTCTTTGATAAAGTATGTATGAAATACTTTGGTGACTTGGAAAGTTTATATGTATTTTTGTAAAAAAATAAATAAACCTGTTTTGTATATGAAGGAGGAAAATCTTACGTTGTATAAATGGGGCATTGTGATTTATATATTTACTCACTGACATGAGAATGGTAGATCCGGATCTGGCGACTTAGGGTCACCCCCTTTGTTGCGTTTGTATTGGGGTTGCTCCCTTTACAGTAAATGGGTTGCTCCCATTGGTAATGTATTGGAGTACCGTGCATGGATATATGCGCCAGGTACTCGGCTAATAGGTTTAGTGTCAGGTGGACACATTGTGCAATGGTGATTAAATCGAAATTAGCCTAACGGATAAGTGGACTGCTGGGTAGTGCTCCTCCACTTATTCCGGTTGTTATGGGCCACCCCCATATTGTGTGGTATTCATAGAACTTTGTAAATATTGATTGACTGGTAACTTAAAATGTTTTGGTTGGACTTAACATTTATTTGACACATCACATCAAGCATATGTAAGTCATGCATTTTTTGTTTGTAGTATAAATTACTTGAAATATTGTATTGTGAAAACTCTTGAATTCACCAGGCATGTAGTATGATTTGTTTTGTTTGTCGACGTGCGTCTCAGGAACTGGTTCAAGTGAATGTGCTAGCAACATTCTTGGTTATTATAAGGCTAGCAGGTAAGTTCATAGGATGATGCAATGATTGAGACTTTTGGAAGCTTAATCTAGTTTGGGGAAATGTATTTTTTTGGAAGAATATGAAAGTTTTTACCTTGTAAATAGTCGTCTTTATTAAGACTAGTTAGTAATCATAGTTTTTGTATGGTTAGTTATTTTACAATCATTACTTTTACAAATGTTTACAGGTTTAAAAAAAATGGCAAAACACGACTTTTCGAACGGGTCATGCCGAATTTTTGCCAGATTAAAAAAAATCTAAGTATAGGGTGTTTCAGTAGAATTTCTTCATTCAGCATCTGCAACATCAGCAAATCTTATAGGAATTCAAAGGATTTGATCATTTGAGATTTGACCATTTTTTCCATATAATATGCAAGAGATTCAAATAACCTCTACAAAACTTCAAAAGTATTAATAATGTAAAAAAAAGACTAAAAGACTCAATTAGGGTAAAATAAACTTAAAAATGTAAAAAATGTGCAAATATGGTTGATAAATTAGCACCTATCATTGCGCAATATGCCTTATGTTCAAGTTATATAGGAAGATGACATGGTTTTCCAAAAACAAGCTTATATAAGAACATACTAATTAGTGTTTTAAATGCAGTTCTGTATGCCCATACAACATCGTCTAATTTGAAAGTCCAATCTTTATGTTTGATTTAACAAAAAATTTCTAAATGCCTTTTATTTCCCTGTTTAAAACCTCTACCAATCCATTAGTTTGTGGGTCGTATGTTTGGCAATTTTGTGGTTACTGTTTCATTTTGCGAAAACTCCATGTAACAGATGATTCCTAAAGTGAGTACCTTCATCATTCATTAGTGCTCTTAAGGTACCAAACCTTGTGAATATTTGTTTTGAAGGAACTTAACCACTATTTTTTCATCATTGTAAGTACATGCCGCAACTTTTATCCATTTTGACACATAGTCAACAACAATTAAAATGTATTAGCATGTGTTATATAAAGGAAAAGGTTCCATAAAATCAATTCCCCGAACATCATATAATTCTACTTTTAAGATCCCATTTAAAGACATTTTATTCTTTTGGGAAATTAATCCACTTATTTAGCTTTCGTTATACCGTTTGGGAAAAAATTATTGGTATCTTGGAAGATAGTTGGTCAAAGAAACCAAATTGCAAGACATTCACTGCTGTCCATTGTCCTTCAAAATGACCTACATATGGTGTTTTTTGGCAATCCTACAAGATTGTTATCACTTCTGTTTTTGGTATGCACCTTCTCAAAACTTGACTGTAACAATTTTAAACACAAAATGATTGTCTCACAGATAAAATATAATATCATGAAGAAATTTCTTGCCCTTACGCCCTGTATACGTAGAAGGTTTGATGCCACAAACCAAATAGTTGCAATATCGACAAATTATGGTGAAGTTGATTGTTGCGGTATCAAGATTTTCTCGTCACTGACGGTTTCTATGATGTTTCTCTTTTCCATGTCCTTATCATGTTTCTCTAGCCTAGATAAGTAATTTATAATTTGATTATCTACTCATTTCCTATTTATAATCTCAAGGTCAAGCTCTTGTAACAACAAAATTCATTTTATTAACCTAGATTTAACATCCCTTTATTTAGATCAAGTATTTGATGGCAGGATGGTCTGTATGTACAATGACCCTTGTTCCTATGAAATATGATCTAAATCCCTCTCAAAGGCAAAAACCATAACTAATAATTCTTTTATAGTTGTTGTGTAGTTCAATTGTGCTCCATTTATTGTCGTACTTGTATAATAAGTTGAATGAAAGATTTTTTTTTCTTTGTTCCAAAAACGTTGTAAGTTGACAAACATAAGAGACCAAATTCATATATATATAAATTAGAGACGCTATCTATGCAGAGAAATACATCTCGATTTTAATGTTTCATTTTATTCTTTGTCTCTACCATTTTATATGGTTCGAGAAAAAGATAATGTTTTTATTTTAAATAAAATATAAATTTGAATATATAAAAAATATATCGATATCAGTATCAAATTAACTATCTAAAAGTTCTCTTTTTTTGTGTAATTTCTTTAATTCAATTTTTTTATAATTTAATTTAAGTTTAATAATGAAGTAATTTATTTTTGGTTTAATAATATAATTTTTTATAAAGATAATAATTAAGTATTATGTTAGAACTCAATCATTATCTTAATTATGTTAGATTTTTTATATTTAAAATAAGATTTTATCATGTATTTAATTATATTTAGCTGCAGTTAGACTACACGAATTCAAACATAGAACTTTAATAAGTTGTATTTATATATAATTCACTTGTAATCTTAAATTTTAAGTAATGTACGTCAATACACAATATTTTATACATAAAAATAATTTTTAAAACTTTTTATTAAATATTTTATAATATAGTATAGATATAAATCTATACTATATTATAAAGCATTTGACAAAAACTCTTAAAAATGATTTTTTATGCACAAAGTACTGTTTATTGATGCATATTACTTAAAATTTAAGACTACAAGTAAATTGTGCATAAGTACAACTTATTAAAGCTTCATACTTGAATTCGTCTAACTAACTGCAGATAAACATAATTAAATATTGGATAAACATCTCATTTTA